ATAAAGTATTCATACATATTTCAGTCAAGTTCATTACATTCAATTACATGCTAATACCCTTGGGAAAGGTATGAATCCATCTTTTCTTTATGGGTTAAATGGTAGGGTAGATTGGGCTTTTTAGCCTTGGTTGACAACCAGTCTAAGAAAAGGACAATTCAAAATCTGAAGAGGGCCATTTGAAGATGGTATTTATCCTTAGGAAAATGTGTGGTTGGTTCTCCACAAGCCTTAACCACTATAATCAATGATGTGTGGATAGTCTGGGTGTTCAGTTCAAAGAACTGAGCAGCTGGACCCTCATATGTTGGAAATGATGAGTGAGTTGATATATATATATATATATATATATATATATATATATATATATATATATATATATATATATGTGTGTGTGTTATTGTATATTTGGGCAGCAACATCTCTTTTAAAATCTTTCATTAAATATGACAGACAAGGAAAATTTAATTAATTTTTTTGCTTAGTTTTTCCAGTGTTCTTACATTTTTCTGTTTGTCGGGGAGTGTAAAAATATATATATTACTAAAGAATTAATGGATTTTATTTTTAAATCCAACATATTTTTATTATATATATATATATATATATATATACACTAGTGAATATACATAATATCCCATAATATCCATTGCTGTTGGATATTATATATATTCACTAATATATTCACTACTTAATAGCTCTGTTATATAACATTGAGTTCTGTATTTATAACACCTGAGAAAGAAATATATATGTATGTGCAAGTATAGTGATTTTCCAAGTGTAGCTTACAGGTGGCACAAGGCCGAAAGTAGGAGGCACCTAGTGAGGATCAAACTCACTATTTAGTCGTAATTGTTCTAGCAAGACAAGCTTGCTAACCATTACACCACCTCAAAGTGCCCAAATGTATATGCAACTATATGTGTGTCTATGTATATTTTTTTTATCATACCCATATCTAGATAGGTAGATAGAGAGAAACATAATACCCAGAAAATAATAAGTATATCAGTATTTCTGCCTGAGATCAGTGCATTCTGTTGAGGGTCATTGCTCTCTGGTGTACCTGTCTAAGATCAGGCAAATGATGGTGCTACACAGAGAAATGCCATTACCTCCCCATGACCTGACTGAATATTTTAAGCATCAGATAAGATAAGCTACAACAGGAAAAGACTGACCAAGGAGGATTTTGGTAATAGATGAGTGAATCTAACGGGTTTTATATGTATGAAAGGTGCCATCTAGAGTATTTTTTTTTTAGCGGCTGTGTGCCATTGTGGGGAGAGTCCTGACACCAGGGTACATTCCCTCAGGATCAGAATGGCCAGGTAAAATTAAACCAGTTATATGATCTGTCCCTCTCACCTGCTTGTATGTTAATATTTACAGTGTATCATAAACTGCTTGCAGTGTTAGATGAGAGACAAATGAGATGGATGAAAGGAATATTGTGTGTATGGATTGCACAACAGAGCAGTTTTTTTTACTAGATTTGCATGACAAGCCAGAGGTAGATAAAGAAAGAGATATACATTTATAAATCTATCATATAGAATGCAATATATCAGTGTGTTTCTTTAATCAAATCCATTCTGAGAAAATTCAGATATCTAAAATCTGACCAAACACCAGAATGTTGTGCAGTGTCAAACTGATTAGTGGGCACTACTTAAATTAACTGGTCCGCTCATAAAAAACAGAATGTTCTTTTAACATTTTTTCTCCATTAGTTTTTATTAAACCCTAAAACCATGACATTTGTCAGAAGTAAAGAATATTAAATTTTATCATTTTAGAAGAAGGGTACTGTTTATAATACAGGTATACCTCACCCTATACCATTAATTGGTTCCAAAGGTCACAACTTAGTTTGAAAAATGACTTAAGCTGAAATAACCACACTATGAATTGCAAATAAGCATTTCCCATTGCCTATTACAGTATTTATGATATTTACATACAGTATTCTGAATAAAATAATTAATTTCCACCTTATCTTCCAGTGATATAGCCTTATGTTTAGCATTAGCACTTGCAATGGGACTTTTCTCCGAAGCCATGGGCAAAAATGTATTCTAAATCACAATTGAAATGTAATAGAAAGAACGTCAATGGTAGTGCACAGATGCAATCACATCAGAATTCAAAATTGTAGTTGGAGTGGAAAATGACACAGGAGTGCCACCTGTTGGCAGGAATTTGAAATAAAAACATTCACTGAACATACTTTATTATGCCTTTATTTTTTGTTTTTGATGATTTTTATGATATATATATATATATCTTATACATAATATTATTTTAAATTTATTTAATTAAAATTTTATATGTGTTTCTTGTTACTTTAGTGTTTTGATGTTTCTAATAATTTTAATGGCCAACAAAAACTTGAGTAAAACAACCTAAGGCAAGTTTTCTTTTTCCATATAATATTTAAGAAAAACCAACATATCTTTGAAAATGACTTAACTTGAAATTGCTTAAGCCGAGGTATGACTGTATAAATACCAGGTCAAATCAATCTCTGAATTTTTAAAGAGTTATCTGTCCTTTGATTTTATTTACAAATATCAAATTTGAAACTGTGCTTATACCATTGATAACAGTGCACTACTACAAATTGGGAAAAAGGATGTCATTAGTACACAGAGAAAATATCTAAAGGAACTTTAGAGAGTTTGGTAACATATTAGTTGACTATTATATAAATGGATACATTTACAATTTAATTAATTCTGAAATTTGTCTTTGGATGAAACTGAATTGTTATCAAACATTATACTTGGTGTTTCATTTCTCTTGTACCTTGGTATTTACTAACTTTAGCCAAGTATGATACAAGATCACTTTTTGAAGAGCATTCAGTAAGGCTTAAACTTACTGGAGGCACACTTGATAGCCACAGAGTAGATGGCTAACTTTTTATTTAGTCCTATGATCAATGCATGAATGGGCACATGGCCGAGCAGTTAGAATGAATGGGCATGTGGCCGAGTGGTTAGAATGAATGGGCATGTGGCCGAGTAGTTAGAATGAATGGGCATGTGGCCGAGTGGTTAGAATGTTCACATTCTGACCATGAAACCCGGGCTTGAATCTCATCATGGTTGATTTGACAGGAAGGAAACTTCCTTATGTTATCGGACTGGAGGGGCCAATCCCAGCATGTGGCACCTTTGGAAAGTGCCTGAAAACCATCCATAAGTTGGCTTGTGAGTGAAATTGGGTAGACAGAACCCTTGGGAGCTGTCGACAGCTGTGATAGCACAAAGTCACAAGTCATTGGGCCGAGGGATTGAGTGTGCTGACCTTGTTCAAATTGTTGATTATGCGAGATAACACGCTCTTTCCCAGAACTGTAATTAAGGTCTGCTCAGCATAGTTGGAGTATAAACCACCGGTGGACTCTGTGAGTGTTGAATAAACACAAAAGTGCCTAAGCAAGCATCTAGTCACCTTAGTAGAGGGGTATCCTCAAATATGAGTGGTCAGCTATATGATCAATACTACAGAACCATAGTCAGCATCTCCTATGTAGGCTGTATCACAAATGATGCAGTGTAAGCAATCATTATAGAAGAAGCAGGCCCATTGAAAGACTTCATAAACAGAATCAAAAAGAGAAATTTGAAATGGTATGAACAAATTATAAGAACCAGCCATCTTTCCACTGGCATTTCACAAGACACCACCTTAGGCAAAAAAAGAAGAGGTAGACAGAGATAAAAATGGGCTGACATCATCACTGAGTGGACTGAAAGATTGTCCACTGAGACTCAGAAATTGGCATGCGAGACATATGGAGAGAGCTCAAATTTACTGCAAACTTATGACCCCCACGATGATGGTGATGATGACCAAGAACCTCAGGACATTATGACCCCCACCTGGTTATGAGACTGATGATGATAGTGATGATGACCAAGAACATCAGGATATTATAACCCCTATCTGGTTATGAGACTTATGATGATGATGACCAAGCTCCTCAGGACATTATGACCCCCAACTGGTTATGAGACTGATGATGATGGTGATGATGATCAAGAACATCAGGATACAATACTAAAGCTCTTTCTTTTTGGGGCAAAGTAAGTTATTTGATGGTATATATTTCCATATAACATGAGATAGGCATTACTGGGTTATATGGTACTGATTGCAGATTAATTACTTTACTTAGTCTGATACATGGTCACAATACTGTACCAGTTGAGTGTTCGATGGTGTATCTGAAACAGTATTCCTTCTTAGATCTTCAAAATAGTGAAGCAAGGCAGCAGCACTATATCCAAGGAGACTAAAATATTTTTTTTATATAATGCAACCTTTTCTTTTTACCAGCTTTATTCAATACATCATCAAATTCCTCATAGATTGATGTTTTATGAGCATCATTTTGGTGAAGATTTGTTGATGTATATTGATGTTATTTGGAATACATTGTCATTTTTAGTGCTTTTTTGGGCCCCGGGCAGGTCTGGACACATTTTGGTCTGGCTCCATCCCAATTTTCAAAAATGTTCAAAAAGTTGGACACAAATGAGTGGAATAAAACACTTCCACACTTTTTTGAAAAATTTGGTCTCTATAGCCCCACCACCCATATAACATGAGATAGGCTTTACTGGGTTACATGGTACTGATAGCAGATTAATTACTTTATTTAGTCTGATACATGTTCACAAAACTGGGGTACCCAATGAAGATTGAAGTTACTATACTAATATGACTAGTTTGTGTGACTAATTTACTAACGATCACAGTTTACTAACGATCACAACTTTCTTTGCATCTTGCATCATTTGTTTTTGTTTTGTTTTTTTTTGCTGCTCTCTATCTGATGTGGGTCACTTATTTCATATGTAATCTTGTTAATCTTTTATCAAGATGGCCTCTTTTGAGCAAGTTAATAAATTACAAGTAAATTGTGCTGATGTGAGAAAGAGAAAGAATGTTATTTACAAAGCTTTATTTGTTCAAACCAGATTTTATTAAAGAGAAAAGATTGAAGGAGTAAAGATAAGAGAAAGGAGGGCAGTATTGGGGAAGTTAAAGAAAAGGGCAGAAGTAAATAAGAGAAGAAATGAGGAGGAATAAAAAGAGAGAAAGTGAGAGAGGCATAAAAAAAGGCAAAGAAAAAGGCAAAAGGGCAAAGAAAAAGGCAAAGAACAAAAAAAGGCAAAGAAAAAGACAAAAAGGCAAAGAACAAAAAAAGGCAAAGAAAAAGGTAAAAAGGCAAAGAACAAAAAAAGACAAAAAAAAAGGCAAAAAGGCAAAGAACAAAAAAAGGCAAAGAAAAAGGCAAAGAACAAAAAAGGCAAAGAACAAAAAAGGCAAAGAAAAAGGCAAAGAACAAAAAAAGGCAAAGAAAAAGGCAAAGAACAAAAAAAGGCAAAGAACAAAAAAGGCAAAGAAAAAGGCAAAGAACAAAAAAAGCAAAGAAAAAGGCAAAAAAGCAAAGAACAAAAAAGGCAAAGAAAAAGGCAAAGAACAAAAGGGAGAATAACACTGAGGGAAAAATAGAAATAAACAGAGTTGGATGAACAGAAACAAGAAAAAGAAGGGAGATTACAAGGAGAAAAAGAGAGTTAATAAGAGAAAGAGGAAAAAGAAGAAAAGTAAAGTGCAGACACAGAAAAAAAGAAGGAAGAAATAGTACACTAAGCAAGAACAAGAGAAGTAAAAAGAGTTTTTAAAAAGAGAAAAAAACAAAGAAGGAAAGAGAAAGAAGTAGAAAGCAAAGATGAAAAAGCAGGAGGATGAGGAGAAAAATGAACAATAAAAGTAATGTTGAAAGAGAAAAAGAATCTGGGAAGTAAGAAGAATAAAGCAAATAAGAAGAGAAAAAGAGGGGGAAATTAATAAAGATAAAAAGGAAACTGTATCTTTTTCTTCTTTTGGAAATATGTACAATATCATGTACAATATAAATACAATATTATGTACAATATAAAAATTGAAACAACTCAAATGACATTAAAAAATACATAATAGACATAAAAAATAGAAAAAAACTAATAGACATAGTATGAAGTAGAGTAATGGTTAACAAGCTTATTCTAACAGAGCATTTTTAATAAAGTGTGTTTGGTCCTACCTAGGTGATCTACTCTTGTGGCCTTGTATCATAATAAGCTCAGCTGAGTAAATATCCCTATAGTCCAGAGTTTACATACTTCTTAGGACAGTTTTACAATTTGTTGCCCCTCTAAACAACATTCCAAAATTGGATAACATCTATAAAATCTAAAGATTATAATTAGTCATTTATTTTGTTTGGATTGTAGACAAAATAAAAAATCCGTCCTGGGTAAGACGATAAACTACGTCCAATAGCAAGGCCTCTGATCAGGAGGTTTTGAGGAGTGTAGAGTCACCTCTTAATGGCTAGTGTTCACAGGTCTACCCTGACCAGGGTGGTAGCACCTGTTAGGGTCCCAGCTATGGGCAAATAATAACCCCCCCAAACTGGGGTCAAAACACTATGAGAGTATAAAAATAGGTTTTAATACCAGCAATATGTTTTGTAAAAAAATTACCAGCAATAAATTTTTGAAGAAAAAATTATTACTGCAATACATTTTTGAAAAAAAATATTAGCAACAATACATTTTTGGAAAAAAATATTACCAGCAATAAAAATCTTGTCGGCATTAAATAACCTTTTGAGGTTGATATGATAAATTTCCTTTTAAAGCCCTGCACTAAATATCTATTAAATTTTTCCCAAATTGTCATAGTGATTTTCCAAGCATAGCTTGGATGTGACACAAGGCTGAAAGTAAGGGGCACCCAGTGAGGATTGAACTCACTACTCAGTTGTAATTGTTCTAGCGAAACAAGCTTGCTAACCATTAAACCACCTCGAGGTGCACTTCCCAAATTGTCATATTTCCATGTAAATGAACATGTTGAACTCGAATTAACAAGTATGATAAAACCTACTGTTTTAGAGTTATCGAGAAGAAAAAAATCGAACTAATTCTGGGTATGGACAACGTTTTTATTAAGCACGGGACATTTCCGGGTATTGTTTTGGCATAAGCTTAAATTTTGGCCTATTTAATTCTTTTACAGAATTTTGTTGCAGAAATAACTGCACACAACTGTAAAGCAATGTATTTTTTTTTATAAGTGTAGTTTTTATGCTATAAAACAAAATAAAAAAACGAAAGAAAAACAGCAATAACAACAAAGAAAAATTAAACTTTTTTTAGCATTCTTCTACACAAAACCTGAATCACAATATGGAAATAAATGTTCAATATAAAGGTTCATGATATTGTTTACTAGAAAGGTTCATGGTTATGTTCAAAAAGATTCTAGGTCATATTCAATAGACAGTTAATGTTCATTATGTTTAGTCTAGATGAGTTAATCTTGTGACTCATTTACTGTCTTGAAAGTAATTTATGATTAACTTTCAGTTTTTGAGAAAAAACGGTTTTAACAATTTTTAGGATATCACTTTTAGTACAGGCCCTATGAGAGAATAACCTAGCAACAAGTGACTGAAAGTGGATGGCCAGTGTCTTAAAACCTTTAACACTCTGCAATATAAAAAAATTACTTTCCTTTCCACTGCATTCTTTTTCAAGTTTTTAAAATTTAAATCTATGTCTCGCGCATAAAACGGTGAGGAACAAAATGTGTGTATGTGTGTATGTGTGTGTGTGTATATATATATATATATATATATATATATATATATATATAATTATTTATTTAAAAATATGATTCCAACGCTACATAAGAGTTCTCATGTTTCAAAACAAGAGCTGAAAACGTCAATATAATTATTTGAATTAAATTGAATTAAAGTACTAAGCTCTGTTTCATCTTCAAGCGAAATTTTTTTTTAATCTTTTTTTTAAATAATTATATTTATGCTCTACTTTTGTATCGAGCACCATTTTTTAAAAATAATAACAAAAATACTAAAGAACTTTGGATTATTTACCTAACGAGTTCTTTCCTATTTTCTATATATTTTTACACACACATATATATATATATGTTGGTACATGCAAAATATTCGATTTACTTCTAAATCTTTCTTACTAGTCTAAATTTATTTTGCGTTTCTTTTCATCATTGTCATAGTTAGTTGGTAGCTTTTATTTTTGGTTTTGTACAGATGTCTGAATCTGTTTGTAGTCATTCACCAATGAAAGCCAAAAAACACTTCAGTTTTTTTTTTTTCTACTTCTTCTAAATTCAGCACCCAGTCGACTTCTTCCTTGTGAATGTTGATCCCTTCTGCCTCTCTGACAAGCCAAATTTCTTAAATGGCTACAAGATGGCTATGAATTCAATCAGAAATTTGATACCATGGGGTTTTACTTTCTTCATTGCCTAAAAAAATCACAAAATGTATTTCTTTAAGCCTGTTTGCAAACTTTATTTTGACAGGTTTTCATTCCATAAGTAAAACTTTTTTTAAAAAAAAAAAAAAAAATTTTTTATACCTGTATCTTTTTTTAGTAACTATCAGTCTTCATCTTGGTGGCTTTTTTCAACATCAATTTGTGCCTCACATATATAAAGTTTTATATATCAAATTTTATTCAAGTCATTTTTTTTTAAATAACCGTCTGGCTTCATTATTTCAAGAATACGCGTTTAGATTCAGTTTAGAGTAAATTACTTTAATATTTTTTAAAACACTCCCCGTCAAAAGAAAGTGTAATAAACTAAACAGACCTACTTTGCATTCTTTATGATTATTTTTCTTTTACACTTTCATTATTTTTTTAATATAATTTTACATTTCTTTTTTCTTAAGTTTTTACAACACTTGCTTGGATAGCCATTGTGTTGGGTTGGGCGTCTTGTTGGTAGGCTGCTCCAAAATATGCCACATGGTGTTGTTTGTCTTGTGGGTGCAAATCAACCAAAGTTAGCTTTGCTTTATCAAATTTAAATAAACTCAAAGTGATAAAATCTAGACTAGATTAAAAAAAAAAAATGGATTCTTATTATGGGAGCTTTCAAGTGAAAAATCAGCTTTAAAAAAGATTTTTCATTTTTATTTTCAAAATAAAAAATTTTAAAAGCACCCTTGACATCACCTCTTCCCACCCGTCCCTACATGAATTTTTGTTCTCCAGTAATGACAATGTCTTCTAGTTATTGACGATTATTAAATTCAGCGGAATGTCAGTTTTCTACTTTGAAGAAGATAAAGAAAGTTTGAAAGATAAATAAATGTGAATATGTAAAAAGATAGTACCTCCTCCACTTCATGTTGTTATCTTACTTAAAAACACTAACAGGCAACGAAACAGAAACACTGATGTTGTTTCACTTGTGTTTACTGTTTGTTTACCATTCTGTCGTTGTGGGGTCATTGTTCTTTTAATATTCCCTGAGAAAAAATGCACATACACTTTAGGTGTGCGTGTGTTTATTTTTTGCACAAAAATATTAAGAAAAAAAAAAAAGAAGAAGAAAAAAATAACAAACAAACAATGTACACAGTTTCTGTCCTTGGCACTTGCGGGTAAACAGTTCCGCACACGTGCACTTTTCCTTAGCTCCGCCCAGTTTTTCCAGTTACCTCCCTTGATGAGCATTTTTGACAGGGTTGAGGTACTAATAATAAAATTATTTTATTTTTATTCCGATTGAAAAAAGACATTAAAAAAAAAAAGAAATTAATTATCTCACGTAAAACATAACAGACGTTTTTTAAATTTAAGTATCTAGTTTTTGACTCGTTCATTATTTTGGTATGTTCTGGGACATACTCAAGCCTTGTGAACTATCCCAAATCAAGTATGGTAACCTTTACAGGACATAAATAATAAAAAAATATCAGTTTCGTCTTTCTATATGAAACAAGAATATCCTTGGCCTATTTCCGCAATTCTTTTAAACACAATTTCGTATTATTGATATTTTCTAATTATACCTAGACAGTTTTTAAAAATCAATTCTCATAATTTATTTCTCTCAGTCTCGATTTCTTTTAGTTTCATATTTAATTTCTACTTTTTCGTTCTTTTTCCGGCAATTTTTTTATTTTATTTCTTTTCTTTTCTTTTTCATCCTTCTCAAGGTTGTCTTATTTTTTTTTTCATATGTTGTTTTTACAGCAAATTCATGGCTTTAAAACCAATTTAGTATATTCTAATAATTAATTATTAAGTTGATGCTAAGTTTCTGGCATTTTAAACAAGATATTTTATTCATATAAATTTTGTTGTGAGAGTGTGGATGATATGAAGCCATGTTCTTGGTTTTATTAATTTTATCTGGGATTATATCATCTGTTCACATGTTAAATTAATGTTCATGTGCAATATTACATGAAATAAAATAAAAATAAAAAATCAAATATGAAAATAAAACATGAAAACATGAAATAAAATATAAACAGTTTTTGGTGTGCCTGCAACAAGATATAACAGATTTATCAAATGATTGAATTTTGATTATACATACTGTTGCTTACATAACTGAATCATATTATTTACAAAACATATATATATTGATTTGTATGTACTAATGCAAAGAAATAAATAGTTTTAGGCTTTAGTTTTAGATATAAAGAAATCTGTAGTGAATATGAAATAAAAATAACTATCTTTTCCCCACTGTTTTTAAATTCACGAGCCTATGTGAAAATTTATTTTGACCAATAAAAAAAGGGATTGGCTCCGGGCTGAAGAAAAGACCAAATCAAGGAAAATTTATTTTCACCAATGGAAAAAGGAGCAGCTTACAACTGAGAAAAAAGTAATGAGCCAATGTGAAATTACTTTTTGATATTGATGGAATAGTCCATACATACCATTTCACCCCTCCAGAATAATACACTCTACCACAAAATTACCTATTAACCAATCAACACCCTAGTTCCAGTGAACAAGACTTTTCATTGGCTCAAACTGTAGCAAATTCATGCAAAAATATCT